ATATCCAGAATCACTGCTACTAACCTGAACAAGACATATTAAAAAGCTATATGATGATTTTTGATTAACTTATATATTTATAACTTACGCTAACATCTACTGTTCCAACAAGAGCATCGGATGGTATACGTACATCAGCTGGTTTCTGAGCTTCATAATTCTAAGGAAAACAACATTTTCTAAAGATTGATTTTTGTATCAAACTTACAATAGACGGTATGCGTCCTCCATCGATGATTACAGATTGAGTTACAGGACCAGTATTATCCATTATCATTGGACCTCGATCATTATTCTAAATAGAGTAAATATCTTCTTTTTAACCAAAAAAGATTTAAACATAATATCTTACAACTAGTTCTTGTCCAACATTGCCATCACTACCAACATTAATCTATGAACGAAAATTTTAATTTATTATCCATTGTTTTTTTCTCTAATAACACATCTTTAACTTACATTAACATCAACAGTGTCTAGAAGATTTTGTGATGGTACCAAAGTATCCGTTGATATACTTGGCTTATTGATCTATCAACAATAAAACATCTTCTTCAATCTGTCAAAGTTTACTTCATCTTACTGTATATGGAGATATTGAACCACTATTGTCCGGAATATTAGCATAAGTCTAATATAGGAGGATCTAGTTTTTTTTTCTTCATCAAAACAAATAAGTTTTTTAACTTACATCAACATCAATTGTTCCGGTAAACGAATCGAATGAACTATCAGAATCAACAATCTAATATAATCAAATTTTTCATAATTATTTCAACAAATATTATTCAAAAAAAAAATATATAAATAATTACTCACAATTGGATGTTTATGTTTTGGTGCTATACAATAACCCTAAATTAAAATTTAAATAATTTTTATAAACAAATACAAATATTTAATATATATATATATATACAATATCTAATGTAACATCACTAGGTGGTAAACCATCATCAGTTGCATTAAGATATACTTCAAAAAATCTTGTTGGTTCTTTAGCTAAAAAATTTTCAACAACAGGACTTTGTTCAACTTTTGATTGATAAGCATTATATCTTCGTCCTGAATCATAATGAACAACAACATATAATAAAATAACATTACTTGATGGAACAGATACATATTGTAAAAATATATATGGTATCATTCGTATTTGTAATATATATGTATCCATTTTAGGAAAATCAATACCATCACTATCAGGATCAGCATTTCGATTGATACGTTGATCAATTGTAAAATAAGATGCATTAGCTACACGAATCCATTCAATATTTGGATGACCATAAATTGGACCACCTGCTGTACAATTTACGGCTAATGAATCATCATATTCACCTATCGGTTGACTACGATCATCCTCTTTTAATAGGAAAAAAAATTTACAAAAAAAAAAAAAATCATAAACATTTTTCAAACCTGGTATTATGTCCTAAAAATGTAAAAACAAATATGTTAAATTCTGAATATTTAGAAAATATATAAAAACAAGTTGTTAGCGTAATTCCTGAGAGATTAAAATATGAAACATGATGTAGTTGTTGTCACTAGAAACGAATTTTAAGTAAAATAATATCACATTTAAATATTGATATGAATCTCCTGTATGAAACAATCTGGACAGAGCATAAACAATTTTAAGCGAAAGCAGATTTCCCATGGTCATATTTGAAACCGACATGGTCGATAATATACAATCAACAACGTAGCTTTCGGTGAGAAAACGTCTCCTCGTCAGTCAGAGTTATAATTGTTTTATTGAATTTTTCGATCTTTAGATTAGCTGTTGATGAAAACATGAACTATGATATTTTCATGGTTACAATTCTGACTGAGTAAAATATAAGCTCACATCTATTTAGTCATCGAAATATGAGCTCGATTAGCATTTGACAATTTAAGATATATTGTCTTACGAGTTTTTATTTTTGTTTTTCTGTACTCGATTGAATTCATTGACAAAGGTTATATGTAAATATTCTAATTTCGATACAATAATATTTCATAATACACTAGATACTATTCAAAATTTTTATTTAATCATTTAACTTACAGATGCAAAATCAACAGGTGCAGCAGTTTCATCAGGCTGAAAAAAAAATAAATATCTATTTTAAAAAACTAGAAAAAGATTCTTTTACTTACTTCATCATCTTTAGATAATGGATCATCTTGATTTGAAATTCCTGAAAATAAACAAAATAAACTACGGCGGAACTGTATCTAGTAAATAATTATATTATTTTATATATTTACCATTAGTTTGATTTGTTGTTTCCATTATACAATCAGGTTCATCAAGCTCACTTTCAATAGCATCATCATTTTCAGTCATTAAATAACGAACATTTCTTGAAAGAAGAGTTTCTTTTGTTATATTTTCATTATTCTATAAGACGAAACTTATGTATATATAAACAAAATACTCGAAAAATAAATTTTTAATCTTTACGAAAATAAAAATTGGTGTTTTAGATTTTTTTTCAACATTATATTGAGGTGAATTAGTAAAATTTGCTGTTGCTAATGGAATAAGTTTTCCTATATCATATGAATTAATTATCATGGTTATAGATGGTTGTTCAGTAGCATTAACCATTGGTAATATACAAGTATGAAATTTTGGAAATTGATTAAAATTTTCAAATGAAAATGCTGGTGGTTGACACCAAAAATTTATTGATATTATATCAGATTGTATTTGTAATGATAATTCAACAAGACATAATCTATATCGATTATTTTTACAATTAATTGGTAAATGTATATCATGATATAATTCAGTTTTTATTGTAAAATTTTGATTGATTATTTGTTTATCATTATAATTAAATGTTAATTCAAAAGGTGATTTTTCCATAAAAATAGATTTCACCAAAGAAATAAGAAAGATAAATGTTAAATAAAAAGAAATCATTATTGAAGAAAATAAATTTTTATGTACAATAATAGAATTTATTGATCTTTAACATATTATTTTATTGTAACTTATAGAGAACAGTACATGTTGCGATTCAATAAGATTAAAATAGGCAAAATACTTTCTTTTTGTTTTTAGTATGTATTTAATTGAAAAAACAAATATTTGGACATGTTTTCTGGTTTGAATCAAATCCAGATGATTGTTATTTAATTCGCTTTTTCGAATAGATCGTTTTTCTTGACATTCATTCTTTATAAATGAATTAAAACATATGTATTAAATTCTTTTCTTTTTTTCTTTGTGTATATTAATTTAATACATACGTTTTGATAAAATATTTACTAAGAATGTTATTCTGGATTTTAGTATTGATTTTTGAATAAAAACTGATTAGACTTCTTCTTATTTCAAAATCAAAAAAAAAAGATAATATTTAGAAGTTCCTCGTCGCCATTGTATGATTCAACAAAATCAACGTTAAGTTTTAGGTTTATTGAATGTTCTCACGTGTTATTGTTCTTATGCTACCAAATCTCGTAATCAACATAAAAATACTTTAGAAAAAATATGCCATTAAGAAATATTATTGTCTTCTTGGACAAGAATAATGTAATTTTCATATATTTTTCACTTTTCTAGCTTTTATCAGACGACTTACTTGATGATTGCTTATTTTTTCATTTGTTCTGATTTCGCTCATTTCCATTCAGACTTTAGTCAAATAAAGTTTCAAGAACTTTAAGATTTTTTTCAAAAACATAAATTAGTCAATTGTTTCATATCTAATCTCGTTCATTTATCTCTTATATTACCTCTCGTCCCTTTGCACGAAAAGACTCAAGGTTTTCTATTGTATTCAACCGCAAAAGTTTTCCAGAGGGTCTTCTATTGTATCTTTTTCGTTTTTTACAATTTTTAAATAAAAAAGTTGACTGTGGGAGTGGGTGTGAGTTAACAGCATAGATGTATCCACACCCACACTCTCAACCGACATGCGTAGTAGCTGTAGTAGGTACTCTAATCGGAGCAATACCCGTACCAGATCTATTTACTGGTGTAGGAATAGGATATACGGTAGAAATGTTGTCCCATTATAAACAATGTCTAGGACTAGATACAGAGTCGCTGGATACATTGGCTAAAGCGCATAACTCAACACGTGAATGAATATCTTTTATTCTAACTGAAGGTAGTGAAGAAATTGTTAAAAAGGTAACAATAGAAGCAACAAACTCTTTCCTGTTATCGATGTCATTGCAGGTGATTGTATTAGCTTTGCTACTGCAGCTTAGCAACGTCATACTTTGGTAAATAATTTGGAAAAAGCAGTATTGTTTATATTATATTATGTAGAATGCCAATCACAGCAACACTGAAAACCGTGATTTTCTTATATATACAGTTGTGTGGGCGTGGGTATGTATGTCTAGCAAACCATTGTCTCTATTTCAACCCGACTAAACTAATCATCAGATGACTTTGATATTATATCTATTCGAAATGACTGAACAATTACAAACCAGATACATAATCTATTCATAATCAATTAATTTACGAGAAATTAAAGATAGGATAGATTTTCTTATAGGTGGTGTATATGTCTATTAATAAGTCTCATTCATCACTAATTGACCTTTTAAGTTACTTCCTCATCATCCATTCATTTTACTGATAAATCACGCAATTTACTGATTTTATTCCTGTTTGACTTACTGATCATTTCATCTATTTGACTAACAAAATATTTTGTTCCCAATTTTTATAATTAAAAAAATATCTACATTCGCATACTAGTACCGTCATTTCTAAATCATTCATAATCTTATTCTATAGCTTTTTAGGCCTATAACCTAGTTTCTAAGCATTTCCATGTGTTTTAAGCTGTGAAAAAACTACTGATAATTCGTCGGGTTCAAATCTTCCGAATCTAAGAACGAACTCGACGGGCTCTAACCAGTAGATCGCTCTGTATAATGTGCACTATATCACCGGTATACCGGGAATCTACTGTCTACATATAGACGGTAGTGCGAAAAACGTGCAATATAGCCGATCAATTGACTGAAGTCTAAATTTTTTTTTAAAATAATAATCATACGCACATACTTCATATATATCACTTATAATAAATATCAAAATAATTCAAAGGTTCTTTTTTTAATCAAACACATGCTAATACAAATGCCAACGAATGTTTATATTATTTAAATAAATTACAAATAATAACAAATGAAAAAAAAAATTGTAAATAATCTTTATCACACAAATACATATATGTACTTAATATTGTCAAATTAATGTAAATAAAAAACAAAGCAACAACCAACAAAAGAATTTAGAATCTACACACAAGATATGCATTCTCACATTATAAAAAAACAAAAACAAAAGAAATCACCGATTTAAAATACAGTTCAATGATAATGAGCGTGTAAGATGCCTATTTTGACGAGTATTTGTTGTAATTATTGATGAAAAACTATGTGCTCGATTGCGTAGCTTTTGTATAGAATAAGAATTAATGTTCGATTTTGATGTTTGTGTGAATGATATTGATGAAGAACGTTGACGAAGACTATAAATTAAAGTTTCATTTTCAAATGTTAATTGTTGTTTATCTCGTTCTAATTGTGCTAATTGTTCTTTTAATTGATCACGTTCAACAACAACGGCTCTAAAAATATCATAGATATTGTATTATTGAAAAATGATTCAATTTTGTTAAAAAAATTCTTTTGTTACATGATAGAAGTTTTAATCGAACATATTGAAAAGTCTTTATGGTATATTCAATTTCTTATTTTAATTTGAAGAAATATATGATAAAATTATAGAATATACATAATACAGATATTTGGTAAAAGCGATGTTATTAAGAGATAATAACAAACAGTTATAACATAGGTAAGCAATATATATACTTAGCAAATATATAAGATGATTTATTAATTGAAAACTAATTTTAAAAGAATAGAATAACAAAATATTCAATAAGATAATAACTTTTAACATTTGTCTTATTACTTTATCAAATCAAAAAAAAAATTCCAGTATTATCTTCTGTTGAGATGATAGATTTCTTCATGTATGCTTAAAGATATATTCCCTACTCTTATCCCATCGGTGGGTACTATATACATCTCATTCATAAGTACCGTACTCCTGAATTACATATTCAGTATACTCTTTAAATTTTCGCTCATTACTAATTATTGATAGAAATCATCATTATTTTTGCTTATTATAAAGCGATTATTCTATTATGAAGAATAATCAATGTTGATACGGCTTTCTTTCTGGAGAATGATTTATCAGAAAAATATCTAATAAGATATTTGACTAGCTAATGATTTTGTTTTGGATTTTTCGAAAAAAAAAATATTTTTCAATTTTCTTTTTGTAATTCGTAATTTAAATTTAATTTACTTTTCATTTAATTGCCAACCTCGAAGAAGACAGACTAGGTCTTGATTTCGATTTTCAACCATATCAATTCGTTTTTGTAATGCTAATTGATCTTCACGCTAAAATAATTCAATAGAATAGTAAGCAAAAAACAACAACAACAACAGCACACAATTTAATTTATTTTTATTACTTGAAATACTTGTTCATTAAATTTAGTTCGTAATTGTGTAAGTTCTTGATTTTTTATTTCAAGTGCTGTTTGTAAACTTGTTCTATCTTTTTCAAGTATTTCAACACGACGTAATAATGGATCAGCATGTTCACTATTTGCCATTTCTTCCATAAATCTATCAACTTGTTCTTGTAATGATGTACAATGACTTTCTAATTTAATTTTTTCATTCTATTCATAAAAAAAAAATTAATAAATAATTTGAACAAATACAAATGTATATTTACTAATAATTTATCAATTTGTTGTTGATATTCAATAAATTTTTCCTTCGAAGTTTCTTTCATTATATTAATTTGATTTTGATGTTGTTCATTTAATATAGCTAATTCATTTTTAAAAGATGATTGTAATTGTTCGATAGAAATCTAATCGATAATTTAATTTATTTTATGAATAAAAAACAAAACAAAAAAAATGAATGGATATTTACTTTTAATTGATTATATGCTATTCGAACTATGTAAAGAAAAATATGTTTTTTAAAAACAATTCAAAATTCAACAAAAAAGAAAAATACTTTTCGATAATTTTAATTCATATTGCTGTTTGATTTGTTCATTCTGACAAATAATAAAGATTATTTTTAAAAAAATTGATTCATTTATTTTGAAATATCATCTTACTTCTGTTATGTAATATTGACTTAAAATATGCATAAGGTCAAAATGATTAAGTAATTGTTGATATTGATTTTTTAAACGTTGATTAGTAACTTCAGATGATTGACAAATAATTTTTTGTCTAAATTCAAAGAAAAATAAAACTACTTGAAATAATTCATAAAAAATTTTTTTTTTGTTATTTTTACATAATTAATTTATTATCACTTGAATCAAGACTATGACGAGAATTATTAGATTTTTTGTCTAAATAACAAAACATAATCGAGAGTAAATAAATACATGTAAAAGATAAAATTCTTCTACCTAAACTAAGATCAACCGAAGGAGATTTTCCTTGAATTTTCTTTGGTGTTGATTTTGATGGAATTTTCGATTTATTTGGTTGATTTGATGTTAAATCGGATTGACTACTAGCAAGGGAATTTGATCGCGAATATAATTGATTAAGTTCTAAATAGAAATATATGATCGTAATAATAAATATATATGACTAAAAAAAAAACAACAAATTATACTCGATTGTGATCCTGATAAAGTTGCTGATTTTAATAGATTCGTGGATACAAGTCTTTGTCTTGATGACATTAATGGTGACTTTGACAAAGAACTTAGACTATTTGCTAATGGTACAGATGATTTTCGTTCGAAACCTAAAGAAAATAACAAAAATTCTATTTTATAATTATAAATATTTTTCTAACTTTTTTTGACTTCTGGAACAGAAGTTGGTATACTTGGTCTTTTCATATTAATATTAACTTTATTATCTTGTGGATTTATTTTAGATTTATTGATTGATCTGGTTGAATTAATTGATGGTTTATTTGAATTTGATAGATTATTTTTAATAAATGTTATATTATCATTTATATCAAATGATAAATCTGTTTGAATAGATTTTGTTGAATCAATTGTAGAAGATAAACGATGAATAGATTGTTTTTGTTCACTCATAACTGAATCAGCAATACTTTCATTATCTAATTCATCGATTTCATCATCATCATCATCATCATCATAATAAATTGCACCTTCTTCACTATTTGTTATTGAAGTACATAATGGAATAGAAAAAATTTTCTGTTCTTGTTGAAGTTGTTGTAAAATTAATGATACGCTATCTATGAAATCAGTTTCAATAGTTTCTAAAGCTAAAAAATTAGAAAAAGGTAATTTTGTTTTTTGTAAGAAATTTTGTTTTTAAACATACGTTCATCAATTGTTACTGATGGAGGTTCAATTGATGTCTTTATTTCGGATGGAGGTTCAATTAATGTCTTTGTTTCTGATGTTGGTTTGATAATGTCCTAGAATTATAAAAAAATACAAATTTATGGAAGAAGAATTATTTATTAGAAAATTAGACAAACATGATCATCAGAAACTATTGATTCCTTAATTGTCTCGATTTTTGGTATCGATTGAATAGAAATTGGCGAATTTGGAATAATATCTGGTAAATGAGCAGATGTTTGAGAAGTTTTTATTTGAGTTGGTTGAATTTGATTATCCATTGATGATGGAAGTGTAAATGAACGTGTCATTTTTGCTGGAGGTCTTAAACGACTAATTGTTCGTGGTGATGGCTAAATATTTTATTTATTATTTCAAAAAAAAAAAAAATTTTTTTTTTTAAATAAATACATACACATGTTAGTTCTCGAGGTGCTAAAACAACTTTATCATGTGGTACAAATATTCCATAATTAGTTTTACATTGAAAATATCTTGAAAAGAAAAACAAAGAAAAGTCTACATTAATAATATTCAAATTTTTATTTATTCTAAATACCGAATATTGTTCACTTGTCCGTCATGTTTACCATCGGGTTCATCGAGTTCAATACCACAAAATACTCCTTGAGCAAATTTTACTGCACCTTTATAACGCAGTGTTCCACGTTTAAGCCCATTTATTAATACACGATCGCCAACTGTAAATGATGATTTACTAAAAATGAACAAAATAAGTGTCACTTTTGTTTTTTTTTTTCTTGTATCATATAAGCAAATAACTCACGCATCATTATGTATAGCCAATGGCATTGACGTCGTAACAGCTGTTGTTTGACGAGATATAATAGGTATACTAGTAGATTCTACAAGTGTATTTGTCCGTAATCGTAAAGGTAAAAACGATTTACGCTCAGTAGCAACCTACAATATGTAAAATAAATGAATAGATCGATTACATAGAGTGAGACGACACTTGGTGCATGTTTCTATGTTCAACAACACCAGACACATTAATCTATTTCGATAGTAAAAGAATGAGAGAACATACCTAATCAAAGAGCAAACGAGCAATATATATATATATGTTCTCTTTTTCATTGGCATGAACATGAGCAGAACATAGTGAAAAAATGCTAAGAGGGGAAGCATCACATGCTGTGAATTAAATGCATACACACGTCGCGCATAACATTTACTTTTTTTCTCTGATTATTGTCATCGTCTTATATTCCTCACTGTTAGTAAGAGTTTAACCAGGGGCATCTTTAATATTATATTTGATGTGTATAAAGTAACATAAGAATATAATCTATGTTAAGTGTCATAGATAGCTTAGACATGTTCAAGTGTGAGTTATAATTATATTCAGTATGAATATACATTTTTTTTTTGTTATCTTACCGGAACATTCATGTGATTGATTAAATGTTGAAGATAATGTAATATAACAAATGTTTATTCAAAACACGTCATAATCACCGGAAGACAAGAGAAAAAAAGATAGACGTGGTTAGACACTCAACGAAATGAAGCGTATATAGGTAACAGGTCGTTCTCATTGACAGGTGATGCAGTAATAACAGGACGTCATTGGTAAATATACTAAGACCAATAGATAAAAGTCTCAAATGAGAGCGCACTTCGTCAAGAAAAATAAATGATTCATGAACTCTTACAGACAAGGTGCAGAGTCCTTGAAATGATTGAAATGGAGAAGGGAAGAGACTAATGTTTTTCATGAAAAATAATTTATAAGAATTGAAAGAACGAAAGAAATTTTTTGTGTTTTCGAAAACTTTGAAAATTATCGAACTAAAGAAAAAACAAAACTAAACGAAGGTGATCGCCTTGAAGCGAACCTTGTAAAATATTTTCTTTTTGCTCACTAGATAAAAAATCTATTTGAATCGATGGTGTTTATACGATTCACTGAAGCGAGTAAAAAATAATTATTTAATTGTGTGATTAATTATTGATTCTATACAATTTCTAATTAGGGTAAATTAATCATTGTTTTCTCAGCATAACCTTCAACGAATACGATCGATTGATTCAAAAGAAACCAATATATAAATATGTATCACAATTGATTGAAATATTGAATTCTAAAAACTTTCTTTATTAGAACATCGAAAAAAAACCGAAACAATTTCATAATTATTCATCAATCGAGTGAGAAACATTATGTATTAGCAAGTATTCATAGCTATTTATTTTTTGTTAATTTTCTCTATGTGAATAGCTATTAGAGATGTTCACAGGATGATATTTTCATACCCTATCCTGTCTTGCTTCATCAGATCGGACAGAATACTCTGCAAAATCGATACATTATCCTAATTGTATTTTTTAATCGCATTCAAGACAATATATGACTTTGAAGAAGACGAACTCAATGCATCATTAAGATCAGTAGCACATAGACAGTCAGTATCATCATCAGAACAAAATGATATAGAACTGATAAGGTAATCTTTTGCATCAAATGTAGTAAACAAACGAGAATAAAAGATACAAAAGATAATTTTTCAATGGTTGTTTTATTTATTTATTTTTTTGTCCTTGTCATTCAAACTTTTATCTATAATTCATAACTATTTAAATATCATTTGGCTATTTATTTATTGGAATTATTCTTTAAATTGAATTGAAAACTGCTGAAATTAAATATTGATTGTTTAGATTAAATTGGATGAAGAAAAGTTTTAGAAATGTTTCTAAAATGGTGTCTTAACATTGAACAATAAATAAATGTTGCATACAATATATATATATAACAATGATTAGCTTTGAAGTGATTAATGCCTTTCTTATAGAAAATGTATACTACTGTCATTCAGCGTAAAAAAAACAATAAATCAATGTCAGACATTCAAGTATAAAGTAATAAAATTTATTAGAAAGATATTAGACCATGACACAACGAAATAAATCTGACAGTTATCCAATGTCAGTAAAAAAAATACGTCCTTCAGTAAAAACAGTTTTATATGCATACTATGAAAAAAAAAATGCATCAACAATATGATACACTAAATAAATAAAACATAGATAAAGAAACAGAAATGCATAGAAATGATTACATAAGCAAATCAACTATTTTATATCTGTTTATAGATATTTTTTTTGAATAGTTATCAAATCTTTTAAGTAGCTATAATAATTTTTTAATATTGCTGGTAACATAATGAAGATCAATAAAATAAATGTTCTTACAAATGAAGCAGTTATTTAAGTCATCGAATAGTTGCTTATCTTTTTTTTTATTAGCTATAAAATCTATTTAAATAGCTTATGCAGTGACATAAAGAAATAAAACAAACGAAAAGTTATTACATGACAATCTGCTAGTTAAATCATTTACTAGTTGTATATTATTTTAAAATGTATTTCTTTTGAAAAGTTACAATTGATAGCAAATACTTTCAAATTAATATTTTTATTTCTATTTTTCTATGAAATCTTGTTAGTTAAAATTTAAGTAATACGATATGAAAAAAGCAAAAAAAAAATCGAATGAAACTTTATCAAAACATCTTATTCTGATTGAGCATAAAAACTCGAGTAGTAGAAATTTTATTTGATTAGATTTAAAGTTAATAAGATTTAAAAAATATAGCACGTATTTGTGAATATTCTTGTGAAACCTATCCAGTTTTTTTATAACCAGAGATAGAAGCAACTGTCTTATATTGTTCATGACTTTTATTTATCATGATACAATTAATAAATAAAATAGATAGCATATTCGGAATTACCATAAAAAACAACAACGAATTATATATGCTATAAGAATTTCTTTTTTTCTTTGAAAAATCGATCTCTGGAGGACTAGGGCAAAATTTCAGAAAAATAGACCTGAGGGGAACCACATACGTATTTTCGGTCGGAAGCAATTTGTATCAAAACATATATGAGTCTATGTAGTTTTTAATGCTAATTCTGAATATACTATCTATTTCGCTTTTTAACTATACCATTTCAACAATAAAACAGAATCTAATAAAAAAATTAAATAAGCACATTTGTAGTTCACACGCTGGTGATTCTAATGAGATGAGATATTTGCTTCTATGTCTTATTATAAAAAAAAACAGATAGACTTAAAGTGCTCTAAATTCAAAGTTTCTACATCATTTTATTTTTGGCTTATTCATATACTATTCAATAGAACTTTTCGAGTTGATCACGAATGTAAGTCACGTCTCGAAATTTTTTTTATTTTTCATTCGAAATGGAAACTAACATGATATTCTGAATCAGCATCAAAAATTGAGTGGATCAATCTATATTTCAAATATTTTCACAAACTTTTTTTTTTGACGAAAACTTTACTCCCGGTCCCTCTCAGGAATTATAAAAAATGAATTTCTTCAAAATGTCATTTCAACAATGAGAATCAGGTTCCTAATTTTCCAAAATGATAATAGGAATCGAAATGACAGATTACTAGACAATGAAAACAGTGTTCGGGAAATATAGGCTGATCCACTCAGTTTTTGATGCTGATTCAGAATATCATGTTAGTTTCCATTTCGGATGAAAAATTAAAAAACTTTCGAGATGTGACTTGATCGATTTTAGGACAAGACCATTCAAATTTCAATATGAAACGAATATTTCAAGAACAACGAAGAATTTCGGAAAAAGAAGAATATACTTTTATTCTCCTTTTCATATCAATCGTAATTATATACGACATATGATTAGATTTCTTCAACTAAAAATCTAGATAGGTTTACAAAATTAGGTTCGGAGAGCTTGAGCCCTTCTCAAGTCCATTTCGTCCTGAAAAACTTTTTTTTTCAAACTAAAACTTTCAAATATAGTTTACAATATGCAATCTTCAATGGTGAGTAAGAAAAATATAGTTTCAAGCTTTAGAAATGCATTAGAATTGAGTTATTGTAAGTATTACAAACACTGTGTTGGACGAATAATAGTAGTCTTTGGAAAGACCAAAATTATTGAAGTTTTTCATTTGTTTTTAGATGAAAACTAAATATTCATGATCAGCTCGAAAAGTTCTATCGAATGGTATATTAATAAGCCAAAAATGAGATGATGTGCTTACAAGAATACTCACAAATACATGCTAGAAGACATGTTGAAGTTATCTATGTTGGACAGAATTTTTTAAACTTTATTAACTTTAAATCTAATCAAATAAAATTTTTCCTACTGAATTTTTTATGATCAATCAGAATAAAAAGTTACAAAATAATAGCATAATTCAAATTTGACAATTTCTGTGTATAAACACTATATATTCTTGATCAATTCGTTAAGTTCTATGAAACCAAATTTTTATAAACGAGAAAAAAAAATCCATTCGAATTTTGGATTTTTCGTATCTTGTATTTATTCTTGTCGTTTCTTTTTCTTTTGTAATCAGTTTCAAATTAATAACAACTGGATATCATTGCCTAAAAATTGTAGATATACAATTGTAATTTAATTTAGATTATTTCATTAACTTTAAACTGATCTGAATTAAATGACAACAAAAAAGTATATTTTATGTCTTTAGAACTAGTACACAATATAACTAAGTAAGATAAGAATAAAAATCAAACAAATTTTTATTTTATTGTATTTTTTCGATAAGACAAACAATTGGTAAAATGTTGTATTTTCAATTGATTAATTTATTAATTATATTTGGATTAATAAATTATTCATATGAATTTAATATACAAATTAAAAATCTAAAACGTTATATACGAAATGCTCCATTCAAAAATGAAACACAAAGTGTATTAAATCAAATTTTTAGTGATGAACAACAGTTAGAAAATACAGTTCGAGAATCTATTCGAAAAGATGATGATATTGTCAAAGTTTTAACTCGAAATATTATGTTAGCTGCTGATCGAATGGCAGAAGCTGGTTCAAAAAATACAAAAAGTGTTACAGAATGGACTTATATTCAAGGTGAACTTCGTAAGGGTATTAATTTAATTATTGAAGCTTATCGAAAATATATTGATTTACATCGACAAGTATGTGAAACAATTGAAAATTTTGCAAAAAATATGATTAATAAATATGAAACTGAACTTTCTGCTATTGATCAAATGTCAGTACCAAATTCTTCAAATGGTGATATTGATACAAATAGTCCAGAATGGAATAAATTTGTGGCAAAATTTTTACATATACTTAATTATGCAAGACTTCATCAAGAAACTCTTCGAACTGCTACGGATTGTACTGGAGATTTAATGACACGTACATTATCTCATCAATCAGTTATAATGAATCAACCAGGACCAGGTTTTCATCAATTAAATATTCGAATAAATCATCCAGTTAGTCTTCAATATCCCGTGCAAAGTTTTTCTCTTCCTTGCAATGATATTAGTGAAGATAATGGTTATCAAACATGTTCAAATGCTATTGCTGATGCTACA